CCTTTCGGGGGGATGGGACGATTTCAACATGTATAAATATCGCTCATATTTCTTCAAATGTTTCTTCATCCCAACAAACTAATTTTCCTTAATATTCTATCATCTTATAAGCGAGCTGTGCTCCTTCATTATTATCATATTCTCATTACACTCTTTACTTGAGCAAGTCTCAAAAAAATAAATAAATAAATAATAACCTTTAAATCAATATGAAATTCGCATCAATTTTCGCAGTTACTTTGGCGCTCGTAGCTATTACTCAAGCAGCTCCTATGAAGTTTACTAGACGTCGTTTTGGAGTAGAACATACCCCAGAAGCCGACGCTACCTTTCAAGAAGTAAAGGATATTGTTCAAGGTACCGATAAGGAAGAAAAAGCTGGTAATTTATCAGGTGCAATGGTAAGAGCTCTTTTGGCAAAAGCACCGGCTTGCGATCAACAAGATAGAGCAGATGAAGTGATTGACTTGGGTAGAGAACTTGGAGGTGAACAAGAGGAACAACTTATTGAAGTTGCTAAAACATACCGTCAACTTGAGCGTAATACTCCAAATGCCGGTCAACCATCTGAACTCTGTAAAAAACCTCCAAGAAATAAAGAACTTGAAGGATTGGTTCAAGCTCAAGATCCTACCGGAAAAGCCAAAGACCCTGAAGTCGGCAAAGGCAAAGACAAGGAACCTGAAGTTGGCAAAGGAAAAGACAAGGACCCTGAAGTCGGCAAAGGCAAAGACAAGGAACCTGAAGATCCCGCAAATGGTGAAGAAAATGTCGCAGAAACCGATCCTGTTGGAGGAGTTAAAATGCCAAAGATTCAACAAGATGGTGATGTATTCATTGTTAATGGAAATGAATTTAAAGACATAAAGACCGCACAAGGCCGTCAATGTGACATTCAACATAATCTTTGCTTTAACAAATTCAATGCTGGAGATAGAAGTTTCTCTGGTGCGGATTGTGATAATCAAACAGGTGTTTGTAAATCTGGTCCTCCCGTACTTGCCTAAAAAAAAAA